ACAACGAATTAGGTTGAATTTTGTTAACGGTTGGCTTAATATAACCCCAACGGACCATATTTTTGTGAAAGATTGGTATTTTGTCCTGATTTGCAGGAATCTGAAAAACGCGTTTCACAACTTGTCTCTTATTTAGTTTTATGCGTCATTCAAGATGGCGGCCCCCATATAGGAAATATCGTGTTTATTTTATTATCACGCGTGTGCCAGCTGACTGTGACGCTACCCTACTAATCCCGGAGTCAACCAGGTTACTCCCTGGATACACTATCCTGACTTAAAGTGACTAACTCAATTCTCAGTGTGATAAAATTATCATGCAGCTGAACATTGTACTCTATAGACAATTTTTAGACACTAAAATCTTGAGCCTTCAGTGTCCTGAATGAGCTTCTGAGTGATAGAAAGGAAATTTAATAAAGTCACATTATAATTCCTGATTCCCAAATTACCGTCATAGGCGATGTCATTCTTTTTGCGTGTGCGTAACTAAGCAATGGACGAGAGTGTGTCAGCAGGCAATGTGCTAAATACTCAGATTATACCGTACTACACGTAAAGTCACATGACTCACCTGTTGGCACATCTTGTTTTAACTCCTCTGTGATAAACCTATCGACTTCCTCCTTACGTTTTTCTATCTGCTTTTCCATCCCAATTGTCCAAAGTTTCACTCCCGATTTCTGATTCTTTAAACAATCTTTGTGTTCTTGCATTTTGTCTTCAACAGCACGCTCCATGCACGACACTTTGCACTCTCGCTCCGTGTTGGAATCTTTAATCTTACCAAGGATGTTCTAAAAAGAATAGAAAAGATGAACATGTTACAAACGTATTATTGAAAGCTGCATTCTCACTTTGCAAATCTTTGAGGTATTAACTCCTGACCAACATAAACATGTACACCATTAAATGTGGAGATTGTGGATTGGTAAATAAAATAGAATATAAATTAAGATACTGTATAATACTTTATTTTCGCTTGGAATTAATATTCACTATTTTCGCTGAAGGAATGATTCAGTGAAAATAAAATCCAGCGAATATACCTTTTTTCCTATATTTTACATTTAACTCATCAAAAATCAGTGAAAATAAATTCCATACAAAACACCCAAAAAGTCTTTTCAGCGAAAATTAATTCCAGCAAAAATAAAGTCTTCCACAGTAGAGTAAAGAACAATTTAGGATGCTTTGTTTGTCTTTGAAGGTTACTTACATTGTAGGTATGTTTTCAGTATAGCACCTTCGTTTAGACACACTGTTAACCACCAATTTCACAATTGAAACGGCAATAAAAGCTTAGAAATTGCATACCTTGTGGGTTTTGAATCCCCTCAACAGCATTTGAAATCTGGGCGAATGTTTTTTACAATTTAAGCTCCTTGGTGGTAGCATATAAACTGAAGTGTGTATGTACATGTGGCATCAATAAACAGTTTGTCCCTACAATGTTGCGAATCTAATCGGGACAATATTTAAGTTCTCTAGTAAAGTCATAAACAAATTCAGAAGTTTTGTTGTAAATGAAGTGAGTAATTAATGCATTAATATATAATACTATAATCAGCTTTTCTTCATTGAGAGAAAATTTTCCTCTGTATCAATTTTTCCCATGATACAATGCACAAAACAAATGTTTGTATCCGAGGTACTAAGAATTATCTGATGATTTAAACTTGGCTTACTTACCTGCACTAGACTTAACTGAGCTTTTGCATGCTCTTCAAAATCGCATTTAACATTCCTGATGTCTTGACTTATTTCATCAGTAAATTTAACGCATTGATCTTTCTTATTTTCGACAAATAGTGCTGCCGTAGCTGTCACATCATTACAACTATCAGCAACTGATAATATAATATTGCTTTCCTATAGGAGAAAAAAAAAATGGAAATGATGAAAAATAAACACTGATTACTGTCACCAGAAAAACCAGACAGCATTCTGAAGAGATGCCAACCTGTGCAAGATTCTTTCAATACTAATGTCCATAGAAACTCAAAGTCATTGTATTGCATTATTAGTTGCACAGTTATGGTTAGGAATGCCTTGATTCTATGACATTGACCTTTGACATTAAAAACTAAACAGGTCTCAGAGTCCATCTAGGTAATATTTGTAAGCAATTTTTTTTTTCCATTTTGGAGTGATTATACCCCAGGCGTTGGAGG